CTAGTGAGCCCCGGCGCGTTGCCTGCTGGGCAGCCGGCCCTCACTGGAGCCAGTGGCTGTTTGCCAGCTCTCAGATCAAATCTGGCCCAAGAAAAAGTGCTTTTTCATCTGAAGTTATTTTCCTCAGATGTGAACTTTTAAAACTGGTGATTTCTCAGGCCAGCTCGGTGGTGCAGTGGTAATGTGCGCTCAAGAAATGCTGGGTCCATGCGGAAGGTCGTGGGTTCAGTTCCCAGCATGTGCTGGGCATGGCCGCCGAGGTCGTGGCTGGCGAGGAATGCTCAGAGGGACAAGGCATGAGCCCCGCTGGGGACGCTGTCTCTCACTCTCAAGAAAAACAGTGTTTAACAGGAGTACCAGAGGGCGTAGGTGCTCACCGGAGAGAGGGAGAGTGAGAAAGCACCCTGGGTGGCCACGCTGCCACCCCTTCCTCTCCATTTCACCTTTCCGTCAGGACTTCAGGCATGGAGGTGCACATCCGTGTGTTTTTCAAGCTGCTGGGTCTGGGACTTGAATTGCACAGTCAGCAATCCCACCATGTGGGATCCAGCTGCCTTAACCATACCACTGGCTAGCCGGATAAATACTTTTTAAAATAAATTTTAAAAAGTAGTGATTTTGCAAATCCAGGTTGCCAGCTTGTCTCATGGAGCAGGAGGGTCTGCCTCACCAAGCCACAGTGGGAGAGGCTGGGTGTGCAGTGCCTGTGGGGCAGTGGGACTCGTGGGTCCAGAGCTAGGTGATGGCTGGTACAGAGACGTAGATGCCGGCCCAACTGTGGGAGGGAATGCTCACCTGAGAGAGGCAGGGAGGGCCACCTGTCAGCAGGTGTTGTTACAGCGTGGGTCGTGCTCAACACCTAAGCAGCAGGCCACGGGGTTGGGGTGTTGCTGGAAGGCCAGTGACCTGGCAGCCGGCCATGTCTCGTGCACCGCAGCTGGGAGGGGGCTGCCCTCTTCAGGTGGTGTGCGAGTCTGCCCAGCTCCCTGCCAGGCCCTGGAGGACTTCTGGTCTGTCTCGCTGGGCAGCACAGCCCATTCCCAAACCACAGACCGAGATAGAAGGGAGGCTTAGGTGGCAGTGGGCAGCGAGGTGGAAACGCTCGAGGCTGAGTTCTCTGGGACAGCCAAGGGGGAGCCCGAGGCAGGAAGAGGCTCAGGTCTGGAGGTCGTCGGCCATGAGGATGAGGTCATGGGGATGGTTAGTTCTCCAGGGGAAGGACAGGGGCGTGGGAACACTCCTGTGCAGAGGAGGAAGGGTTTGCACAGGTGTGGGGATGGGAGGGTGGCCAGTGGGCAGGGTTTCAGGGAGCCTGGCATTGCAGCATACTGCCTGTAGGAAGAGGCAGCCGCGAGGTTAACACTGCCCAGGGACGCGACGGGGGACTGGGACACAGACCCGAGCTCACCACAAAGAAGCTGCCTGTGACCCTGAGAGAACCCCACTCCCGGGTCAGCCAAGTGGACATCCGTCTGTGTGCCTCTTGACATACGCGGAGTGGGAGGGCGCGGCCAGTAGACAGCCCTGCTAGACGCTCTGGGGGGGGTGGGCAACAGGAGCGGAGAGCAGGACTTTGAGCCTGGCGGCCTGGGCCAAGCCCGCCTCTGCTGTCTCTGACCACAGGCTCAGGTGCTGGGTGGGGACTCCCCCTCTGTGTAACACCTGAGCTCATCGCCCACGTCATGGGGCGGGGAATGGGGCAGGGGCAGATGTGGCACGATGCCTGCTCCTGGCAGCGAGGGCATGGCGGTTTCGCCATGGAGTTAGCGTAACAGGCACATGTTAGAAATCTGAATGAGCCACGAGGAGAGCAGTGAGTGGTGATCCTCCTCACCTCTGTGCGTGGTTCCTGCCCCCGGGTTCTGTGTGGCTTCCAGGAAGCTCTGAGTTTTCAGGACGGTGGGACATGCGGAAAAAACCTCCCGGGAAGAAGGCGGAGAACCTGGGCCAGGAGACTGAGTCACAAGGGCTTCAGGAACGAGGCTCCCAGCAGCTGCAGCAGCTGGGCTGTCTGGGAAGGCAGGATGGGGACCCGCATGGAGGCACAGCAGTGATGCGGCTGGGCCCCAGGGGAGGGACCTGGGTTTGCAGCCGAGGCCCTGAATAGCTGGGCACGCAAGTGCCTGCGAGCCTGGCTGCCCGGGGCGGGGGTCATGGCATGAGGCCCCCATTGCAGTTGCCTGTCTCTCAGTGAACTCTAACAGAAATAACAAGCAGCGGCAGGCGCGGAGGACAGAGCCCGAGTGACACCTCAGCAGGCGCGCTGACTGGCACAGGTCCCCGTGTCTGTGCCCTCTGCACTGTGAGTGGGAAGCTCACTCCTATGCCTAGAATCTGCACTGCGCTGGCCCCAGGAGCCTGGCCCACATGCGGGGGAACGACACTGTGCCAGTCCAAGTCCAGTGTGGCTTTACGGTGGCCTCCCTGCCCACCACCCATCCACACCTGGTCAGCTGGATGGAGAGGTGAGCGAGCTAGTGGGGTGAGACAGAAGCAGCCACGCCCCTCTAGTGGACAAGCCACCAACTCCCAGCAGCGATCTGCCCCAGGACCTGCAGCAACTGCAGGTACACTAAGGAGCCCAGCTAGGGCCAGAAGACGCAGGGCTGAGCTCGGCCCAGGCTGCCGTCCCACAGAAGCACGGACGGCGATGCTGCTTGTGGACTGCTTGTTAGGCAGCAAGAGCTAACTGCCTGGGCACTGGCAGCCTGAAAATCATGCCAGACACACGTGCCCCCATCCAGACAGACGTTACCTCTGTAACAGAGCTCAGAGCACGGAGGCTGTGAGGCACACTAGCAGTGGGACATGCAGGGCGGAGCCCCGCCGGGATTGCTGGGTACGGCCCCTATGCCTCTCACCTTCTAGCTCCAGCTCCTTCCACACCAGCGAGAGACTTCACTTCTGGGCTTCAGGATCCTGTGGTTGAGGCAAAGGCAGGTGCAGAGGCTCTCCTGGGGCCCACTTAGGCCTCAGAAGTCGTCATTTGTAAATAGCTATTTTTGCTGCATATTTAAGCACAAGGGCCAGGCCTTTCCCCAGGCCTCTGGGGAAAGGCCATTAAGTACAATCAGATCTACGGAACACTAAGCCCAGCCGCACGGCGCCTTCCCTCGGGCATCTGGCAGGTGCGTGTCAGCCGTGAGCACCGGCAGTGCCGTGAGAGGCCTGTCTCAGCCACAGGGAGGGTCTCCCACCGGCTCACGTGGTTAGTGAAGCAGCTTAGAGTTGCCCACGCTGAAAACACTGCTGGGTCATTAAACAGACAACAGACTTGGTCAGCAAGCAGGGCCAGTGGGTCACGTGTGTGTATTTGGAAAATGGCTTTTTTTAGAACCCTTTTGAAATAGGTGCCACTGGCCTCACGGTCATCTGGCTCTCCGAGGCAAACGAGGGCGGTTATGTTTAGACGAGGAAAGTCCAGCAAGGGGCGAGATGACTGTGCAGAACTCCCACGTGTGCAAGGATGTTTCCAGATCACTTCCGTGCAGCTGAGGGGAAGCAAGGATGGGTGGCCCAGACAACGGCACTGTGTGTGGTCTGCCTTTGAGCTGGCAAGGCTGCCCAGAGGGGCCATGTGGCTGCCGGTCAGCATCCCTGCACTGCCTGCGTCAGCCCTCAGGCCTGCGGGCCCTGCGTGTGTGAGCTGTCGCTTGGCTGCTCTGCACTGCGGTCTGTCAGTAAAGTGGGGGTGATGAGCATCCCCTCCGGGATGTAGCCTGAAGACTGAAGGGAGTGACAGGTGGAGTGCCTACAGCCACCCGGGCGGGCGGAGTGAGCGCCCTGCGTGCACGCATGACCACTGTCACCTGTGAAACGGCCTCCGTGCTCCTCCAAGCTCCCCCTGCCTGCCCAGGGCTGAGACACCATGTCCAGGATCGCGGCAGACATGGCGGAGCAGAAGGGCGTCCTCCATGTCATCCAGTCCAGCACTGCCAGGCGGCAGGTGACACAACGAGGCCACAGCTGGGCCTGCCACACCAGTAGGGCATTCCGATCCAGTGGCCAAGTCCAGGCTGGAGCCAAGTCCAGGCTGGAGCCGGGTCCAGCCCTCCCTCTGCCCCTCCTCCCTTCATCTCCCCCATTCCTGGGGGGGCGTCTTCAGACCTGAGGGCCCCACCACCATGGGCCCAGGTCAGAGTCTCCCCAGTCCTGCCACTCCCCACTCCGCAGAAGCTGGCCATTCTCATTTGCTTTGATCGTCCGTTCGGTTTTGGCCGCGAGGCAATACTTTCTCATTCCTCACAATGGCTTCATTTGCTTCTCTAAAGTTTTTTTAATTACTTTTTTCTTCGAAGAGTGAGAAAGACAGCAGGAGAAACAGAAACAGCACTTCGCCCTCAACCGCCGGCCCCGGGGCGCCTGGTGTGCTGGCGGACAGCTCCCACGCTAACCCTGAGCCTGCCACGGGCCAGCCCTGTCTCTCCCCCCAGGTCCCTCTGTCCACAGCAGCCTCAGTTCTTTCTTCTTTCTTCTTTTATTTTAAAGGTTTTTGCCGTAGGGAGCATGCTCTCATTGGAGAGAGACAGAAAAGGAGAGAGAGAAGTCACCCCCCAGGGGATGACCACATTACAACCCCCTCTCTCCCATTCTCCTGTTGCGATTCTGGACATGCATAAAACGTGCCTAGGGTGATTTTCAAGATGCTGGATATGGGAGTAGAACTGTGGTCGGCCACGTGAGAGCCTAGGGCCTTAACAACCATGCCACCTGCTGGCCCCAAGCTGTATTTCTTTTTAAGGACCCCACACTGCTGGGGCACCACTGGGCACCGTTAGTGTGCCCCACCCCACCCAGGGCTGGCCCAGGCCCCAGAAGGCCAGCTGGACTCCACTACCCACCGCTGTCCCCCAAGTGTCCCTGGACTCACACTGACGGTCACCACCTTCTCTCTGAAGTCCAGGTCTCAGTGGCACCCTCAGTTCCTAGCTGTTAAACATGGGCCCCTGGTCTGCCTGCCTGCAGGTATTACCGCTCAGTACCCCAAAAGGCTCGGAACTTGAAAACAAAGGGCTTAGTCAGGGATAGCCAGAGAGCAGAGTGAGCGGCCTCATTTAGGCGCGCCCAGCAAACTAATTCAGGGGCACGAGTAAAATTGAGCTCAGTGTTTTTGAAGCAGATATGGCTGCAGTAGAGTGATCAGCTTCTCCGATGAGAGAACGAAACTACAAACAAGCAGAGCCGAAGAAGAGATGGCAGATGCAAGGACCAGGCCGGGGGCCGTTCAGGGAGAGACGAGGCCCTCTTGGAAATGGACGATGGGACAGCTATCCGAATGGGGAGCAACGGGCCCAAGGGCATGAGTAGGGAGTCCGCGGAACGGAATCCCAAGAGGCCGACGCGTGCAGTCACAGGCTCCAGTCGTCACCCTGCCAGCGGTGACTGTGACCCCACTGTGCATGCTGGTGGCCAGCAGTGAGGGGCACTGGCAGGACCGGCTGTCGGCTCCTGCCCGGCACGGGGAAGGCAGACAGCTGAGCTCCACGGAGGTCGGTGCGCACCCCCCCACGCCTCACTCCCTCCTGTGTCCCGTCATCTGTCCCGCTGGCAGTGAGGCCCCAGCAGTGCACCAGGAGGACGTGCAGAGTTGGAACCGGTGACCGGAGGCCCCCAGACTACACATGGACTTCTCAGACAGAGCTCACGGGGCGCCCGGCAGGACACAGTGAGGTCCGTACACAGTGCCATTCTGTGGGTTTTTCATGGGCACCCAGAGCAAGAAGCACCTTCTGCAAAACGTGGACTGTAGGTGGCGGTAGTGGCTGTTCTGCGACGCTGGAGCAACAGGGCCGGTCAGGGTTCTGATCCCGGGTCAGCTGAAACACCCCAGTGCGATCCCGGCTGTCAGAAGGCTACGGTGGCCACTGTGGCATCCAGATACCCGTTAAGGTTCTCTCTTGAGAAGAAGATACACATAAAAAATGAACTAAAGACACGGTAAGTGGACCGTACCAGCTGAGGAGAACGGGGAAGGGGACCAGACACAGGTGGCAAGAACGTCAATACGGTGAGACCAGGACAGAAGTAACAGGGCGTCCCAAGTGAGCAGCAGGCACTGAGATAACGGGACAGGACAGGACAGACGCCAGGTGGGAACTGCTGGGCTAACCAGGGTAAGGTGGCCTGCAATGGGACCATGACTCAGCCCTCCATGCCCGAACCCCAGATCACCCCAGATGAGCACCTACAGGGCTAAGTTTTGGGCTTGGTCCTGCAGGGGCTCTCCCTGAGGCTCCAGCTTCTCGCCAGTGCCCTTGGGGCCGGTGTGAGGAGGTGGCCATGGCTCTGGCTCTCGCTCTGCTCACCCAGCTCTGCTGCCCGGGCTGTGAGCCCTCCCCGGCCCTGGCCTCGGCCCCGGCCCCACTGCAGTGTGCATGCCCATGCCCTGCTTCTCCTGTGTGGGGCGGCTGTTCCGGCTGACGGGGTGGTGGGCAGCCCACTCTGACCCCCGGTCTGAGCCACTGGCATTCTGGGTCTCCAGACATGCAGAGCCCCACCAGAACCCTCCGTTCCCTGACGGTGCCTACCACCTTGGCAGTGAGGGCTGGGCTCTTTGCCTGTATTAACCATGTTTCTCAGGGGCTCCTGGAGCTTCACAGCTTGAAAACCCTGAAAGATGGTAGGATACGAGATTTCATAAGGCCAGGCCTCTATGGCATGGTCTACCGGGAACATAGCAGGTGTGCAAACGTGCCCATCCTGGCACGGTGGAGGGCTGGAAGCACCGGGTCGCAGCGTGACGAAGCCCTGTGCGGCGCGCTTCTGTCTGTCTGTCCTTCTCTCAGGCACATGCGCTATCATGAATGGGAAGAATAAAAACTAAAACTAAATTAAAACCTAAAAGTTTGAATATAGGCATCAATAGCCTCTCTCTACACACACACACACACACACACACAATAGTGACAGGCTATGAGGACATTCCTTTAGAGGCCAGGTGGGGCACAGCAGTGCAGCTGGACCCATGTGGCAAACTGGGTTCAGGTCCCAGGACCCCCTCAGAGGGCCAGTGCGTGTGGCAGGATCAGGGGACAGGAATATGGCCATGTGACAGCCCTGTCGGGGGCTTCTGTCTCTGTCTCTCTTGCTCACAGAAAGAAATAAATAAACTTTAAAAAGATATTTTTAACAAAGAAAAAAGAAAACCCTTGTATAATAACATAAAATATTTAGGGATAAACTTAACAAGAAATATGCAAAACCCACATCAAACAGCTCCGAAAGACACATGAAAAGAATGGATGTAAAGACATCTCTTATTCTTGCATGGGATGAGAACATCAGGAAGATGCCAGCTCTCCTTAAATTAATTTATAAATTTTAAACAACCCAGTAAAAATAGCAACAAGCTTCTTTGTGCCAGACAATGGATACTATAGCTCTTAGTTTTTAAAATGCAAGAAGAACCTTTAATGTCTGATTGGGCAAGAATGCCTTGTTGGACAGACATTAAAACATGCCTCCCCACCCTTTGCAGTTGCTGTAGGGCACAGGTGCTTGCCAGAGAGAGAGACAGAGACAGAGACAGAGGGGGGGAGTAGAAAGTCACCACAGCCCTCCCCTTCATTCTGCTCGCAGGGTTTTGGGCACGCATGCACGAGTGTCCGTGTGCCCAGTGCCTTAGCCACCATGCCACCTGCTGGCCCAAGTACCTTTTTAAGCTGTGTGGCCGTGGCACAAAAGCAGAGAACCCACCAGTGGGAAAGCCCGGAAACAAAGCAGAGCACAAACAGAGACCTAGTGTCTAAGCCGTTTCTCCCGAACTCTGACCCAGACTAGATCAGGAAGAAACACCTGACAGGCGCTGACGGAGGGACATCTGGAAAACCACTGCGGGCTGCAAAGCTGTTGACGTCACGGAACCCGCACGCACGCACAGGAAGGGGACTCTCCCACCCGCTGGGATGGCGCGCCCTTACAAAGGAACGCAGTCCTGGGGTACGTCTGACCAAAGGTCAGTGAAGGACACCGCGGGGACAGCAGGGAGCCCCGAGCGCAGGCTGAGGGTGAGGGTCCTGAGGGGGACGCCGTGCAGCCGCTGTCTGGGAGACTTGGGACTGTGGGCGTGTTCACGGAGCAAAGGCAATGACTGAAGATTAGCTGCAAATTATTTTTTAAACGTGTGTGTGAAGAGAGAGAAACCGCCAAAACAAAATGTTGGCCTGGCTGCAAGAACGTGGCCCAGTGAGGTCACGTGGAAAGCTGGGTTCGACTCCCCACAATGCCAGCAAGCCGGGCACGGGACGCCTGTCTGCAGCCACAGCCACTCAGGAGGTCCAGGGGGAGGGTCGCAGCCCAGCAAGATGTCTTCTAACGTTGGCCACACACACACACGGGTGCTCACACATGCACGCACAGGCACTCACACACGTGCACACGGGTGCTCACACATGCACGCACAGGCACTCACACACATGCACACGGTGCACACACACAGGTGCTCACACATGTACACAGGCACTCATACATGGGTGCTCACACACACAAGAGCATGGGAAGCTCACACACACGCACGGGCACTCACACACACACAAACAGGCACTCACACACAGGCACGCACACACACACAGGCGCACGCACACACATGCACACACAGGCACACACACAGGCGCTCACATACACAGGCACACACACACAGGCGCACACACACAGGCACACACAAACGCCCACACACACAGGCACAACCCACC